GGGCGCGTGGGGGAAATGCTTCAGTGGCGACTCGCGGGAGCCTCCCATGCCATCTTCCTGCCTCTTGCGGATTCGCGCCGACCGACGCTAGTCGACGCTAGCTCCATGCTAAACGATGCGAATCGACGCTAGACCGGCGCTGTCTCGTCGATTGTCAACAACGCTAGCGCGTGCTAGTGCGTTCAAAAAGACGGAGCCGTGAGGACAATCAACGCTCGCATGATTTGTTGCCGAGGGAGTCGGTGGCTGGATTCCACCTGTGGAGCATTCAATTCTGAAAGCGTATTCCTCTTCCTATATTTTTATAAGCCCGGGCGGGGGAAAACCCGTCCCCCCCCCCCCCAAAACCGGACTCCCGGGATCTGGGGTTTGGGGATCCTCCCGACGGGCCTCGAAGCGGCCCCCCTGGCCTCGCAGGGCGTTTTGCTAAGCCTTTCCAGCACACCTAGGGCGATCAGGGGGGTCATCGGAGACGTCTCAGAGACCCCCATGACAGCGCAAGAGCGCTTCAAGAGTGACCGACGTGACCTTAAGATGGCCAAAGAAGCCTCCAGGACGGCCCCAAAGAGGCCTCCAAGAGCACTCCCAAGGGGCAAAAATCATTGATTTTCTTATAGTTGTTGGTGAATCTTGGGGTTCTCCTCTTTTCGGCTTCCCGACGCTCCAAGACGGCGGTCTTCTGGGCGTCCGAAGCCGCCAGGGAGGCTCCCAAATCGCCCCACAACCATCGAAAGGGCTTCCAGGCAGTCCAAGAGAGCTCCAAAACGGCACGACACGGGTCCAAGATGGCCCTCAGAAAGCCCCATGGCGGCCCAAGATGGCCCCAAGACACCCTCCGAAACATTCCAAATCGTGACCGGTCGTTCAGGGAGACCGTGGTTGGAGGCAGGGTGGCCCGAGGAAGCCCCCAGAGGCCCCCAGAATACGCCCAGGAGGCCTCCAGAAGGCTTTAAGAAAGCCTTACACAATTTTTTAAGGCCCCCAGAGGCTCTCCCAGGAGGATCTTCCGCAAAAAAAAGCTGAGAAGGATAGGGAGAATGCTCAGGGTATGGCGAACATTAGGAAAAGAAACATGGAGGAAGGATAACGAATAACATTATCATAGCGGCGATGCCGGAAAAGGCAACAAGGAGTTATCGCTAAATTGTCGGCTTGACCTTCCTGCTATTCCGCCTGCATGCCAAAACTTCAAGGACCAAGGTGCATGGCGCGAAGCGCCACTGCAGTCTTGTGTATATATATATATATATATATATGTGGGTCCTGACCTATTCCCCCCTCCTCGCGTGGCTCCCACCGGATACTTCCTCATAAGATATTTGAGATCGCGCTCTCGAGCGGGGCATCTGCACAATGTATGCACGAATCGCGCTCTCACGTGGTACATGCTCGCAGTTAATTCACACGCCGCGTCTTTGACACTCAGGAATCACGATCACGCTTTGGCCTTTCTCACGTTTACGTGGGAATCGCGCTATCGCTCGAAACCTCCTCGCAATTCATACTGGACTTACGGTTCAACAACCCGCTTGCTCGACCTAGCCGCCAGGGCCCGCCTTCCCGACCCGCCCGTCAGGGTTTACCCGCCCGATCTGCCCGTCTGGTGTTGACGCGTTCTGCTCATAACCCCCCTCCTGCCAGTCTCTCTCGTGCTCAATCCTTCTACCTCCCCCTTGTCCCTTCCTTACATCCGTCTCTTCTTCTCCTGTTATAAAGGCTATGCACGCGTGCCAGGTGAGGAAGACATACTCCCAAGGGGGTATGATCGAAGACGACGAGGGCGGGTATCGAGAGTTTGGGATATACGTGCTGGATGGCACGCGAGCAGATAAGATCGAGCAGTCTTGAAATGAGTGCTTGCAGTTGCTGCTGTTGATTTCTCATGATGATAAAAAATCATTACCCTGACTATATACCCAACACTTGCGCAGTCTATGGCCAAATTAGCTGGGCAGACTTTATGAGGGGGTGGTAGCGTGGGACGGTGGTATATGTTCTGCCTGCGAACGGTATGTGGGAGGCTTGCGAGGTGCGCGGTCCGCAGGACACCGATCAATGGGCACGGGCGTGATGAAGCTGATTAGGTAGTTCCCTGGGTCGAGGGGTAAGCGGAGCGAAGACTAAGAGAAGAAGGCGGACAGGGAGTTTGAAACGTAAGGGGGGCAACAGCAAAGGGACATGGCAGCAACACGAGAATGACGGAGGAAGGAGAGGTGGTGTTTCGAGGTATGCCCACGAAAGTGGCGACTGTTTCGCGGATCGCCCCCCCCCCCCCCCCCAAAAGGACGGAGAGGTCGAATCTGAATCCGTCCGCGTAAGACCCCCACTATGCTGGCCCCCCCGCCAGCATTCGAACGTGGCGTCAGTTTCGCAGACCGCAGCCCCCCCCTGGGGATGGCGAGGTCTAGTCTGAATCGGCAGTTTCGCAAATCGCAGGCCCCCAGGGATGGGGAGGTCTAGGCCGACTCTGCGTAAAGACGTCACGCCGCTGGAGCCCACAGCAGCCCTCCAAAGTGGCGACAAAAGTTCAGAGCTTGCAGGTCACATGTCTTTATTCCTGGCCTGCGCCCGTGGAGACCCCAATCAAATCAAGGTGTCGTGCACAGTTCAACCATCGTTTTATAAAGGGAGCCGATTGTGGACCAAACCTGGTTCAACTTCGGACCCGGGTCCGAACACGAGGATGCCTGAGTTCTCGGCCCCAGCTTCCGACGTGCTTCTGGAAAGACTTCTGCGGGGCTTCTGGAATGATTCTGATCGGCGATTTCTGGGAGGCTTCGCTGGGGTTCCTGCGAAACTCGTGAGGGTTCCTAAATGGGTTTCGTGAGGAGTCCTACGGTCTCGCGGGAGATCATACGGGGTTCTGAGCACAATCTTAGACTTTCTTCGGGGTTCATGGGGTTCATCCAGGATTTGGAGGTCACAGCGGATCCGCACGGATTCGTTAAGGTGTTGTGGGGATTCCTGCTGGATTCGTGAGGGTACCTCAGGGATTCGTGTGGACTTCTATGGGATTCGTGAGGGCTCCTCAAGGATTCGTGAGGGCTCCTGAGGGGTCCGTGCGGGAGTCGTGCGGGCTCCTGAAAGGTTTGCGAGGACTCCTGAAGGATAGACGAGGGTTCTAAGGGATCCGAGAGGATGCCCAAGGGACTCGTCAGGACTCCTGAGCGACCCGTAGGGACTCCCAAGGGACCCGCGAAGTGCGAAGTTTTTGTTTCACGGGTCCGTCGGAAATCCAGAAAAGGGTTCTTGAAGCCGAAGGGGCGTGTACGAATCTGTCTGGGATTCGTGAGGGCTCCAGAATGGGTTCGCCGGGGTTCCGCAAAAATCGCGGGGTCTCCTGAAAAGGGTTTGTGGGGACTCCTGACGGATCAGTGAAGGTGTCGAGGGGTTCGCCTGGACGCCCAAGGGATTCGTGATGACTCCAAAAGGACTCGTGATGACTCCCAAGGGACTCGTGGTGGATCGCAACAGTTCCGGCAAAATGCCGTAGGGATTCGTGAAGATCCCGGACGGGATTGGAAGAATTCGACAGGGATTCGTACAGGTTCCGCGCGGCTTTCTTCGGAGTTGCTTGGTCCTTTTGAACATTTAGCCACCGTTGCAATCGGGGCGGAGTGTGGGCTGCGCGGGCGGAATTGGGGTGGGCGAGATGGGCACGGGAGGAAGAGTAGGAGGAAGAGGTGGAGAAGTAAGGATAATAATGACGAGGAGGAGAAGGGAGAGGTGGAGGAGGCGGAGGAGGAGAGCCCCCTGCCTTTGAATGTGTACGCAAAGGAATTCGGCACAGCAAGGGGAACCCACTCCCATTTTCATCCCCTCACACGTCCCCACCCCCCTCCACGTCCTCCCCCACTCTCCATCTCATCCCCTCCAATTCCCATCCTCCTTCTCAAGCCTTTACCCAAATCCGAGGAGGAGGAGGGGGAGGCCTCTTGAAGCCCCGTCGCACTTTTCACAAGTACTTAGTCTCACATTCGAATTAGATTGTGACATTATTACGATGGTGACTTGCAGCTCAAGTTCTGAAAACAAGTCAGATGCGTATGTAGATATTGCGAGTCGTAGCTCACTCGTCTTGCATATATTCGCCTAAACTCGTTGTACCACGACCAGGTGGCAACCGGTGCTTTCAGAATACAAAGCCTTCACTTAAGTGACTTCATCGTATTTGAAAATGTGTTAACAGCCCGTACAACACAACTATAGTATGCATTCAACGAAGTTCGTTTTGTCGCAACAGAAAGGGGTCGATCACAACTGGATGCGATCGGTGCGATCGCTCCTCTTTCATTTCCATCGGGCGCCATCGCTCTCAGGCCTCCCCAGGGCACGACACCAAGGTCCAGCAACTTCTAGAACATACAGTAAGAGGGGGTTGTGTGGGAATCGAGTGGTCCGATGTCCATTCCAAGCGCAGGAAACAGCACCTACACACGCGGAGCCTGACCGAAGGGGTGGCGTTCTTCCCCTGAGAAGAGCCCGCTGCTCTCAGGGGGGCATGGAGTGGCTCACTGTATCCCCCACACCCCATGAGGCTGACACCCCAACCCTTTGGACGCCCGAAACGGGTACGGAAAACATGGGCACGATGCCCAACGACGAATGCTGTCCCAGACCAACAGCGGCCGCTGTTGGGCAGGCGGCCATCTGTCTCAAATGGACACAGGCCGCGGCGGCGCGGACAGCGAGTCCTGTTCAAAATGAACAGGAACTGCTGTTGTAGGAAGGCACCAACTATACACCAACACCGATCCTGGCCCAGGATCACCCTGGGCCCAGGATCGGTGTATACGCCCTCCTGCCTTGGGCAAGAAGGCATATACACCGATCCTGGGCCCAGGGTGATCCTGGGCCAGGATCGGTGTTGGTGTATAGTTGGTGTCCTCCGATGTTGGGCTTTGTGCCCATTCTTTCCGTACCCATCTCCTTCGTGCAGAAGCCCCTAAGCCCACGCCCGCCCACGCCGCCGCGCCAGCGCAGGCGAACGGCTGGGAGCCTCAGGTGGCGTACTTCTGGACCCACTCGCGGGCCGTCTGGTCGTGCTTCTGGCGGTCCTGCATCGGAGGAGGGCCCGCCGAGGCAGCCGCGGCCCTCCCTGGCACCTCGTGTCCTCGCGGGGCGTCCTGGAAGCCTCTCGTCGCCACGGCCAGATCCGCCTCGAAAAACGAGGCAGGATGGAACCGGGGAGGGGTCCAGGAATAGACTTTGAGCGCATGTGGGCTGGCCAGGAGAGCCACCGTTGCCTGAACTGGCGCCTCTCCGATGGTAGGAAGGGGAATTCTGAGCACCTCCACCTCGCACGGGACCTGTCGACGCACGGTTTCGAGGGCAGCTTCCTCCAGCCCTCTGAGGGAAGAGAAAGTGGCCATGCACACACACCCAGGGGCTGTTGAAGAATCGAGCGAGAGGTGGGTGTGGTCACACATCGGGCGTCGGCGGTCCTTCAGGTACGACTGAGCGATCTCCGGCACCAATGGATCGTTCGGGTTCGGGTCCGTGAGGAGCGAGGAAATTGAGAGCAGAACCTCCAGGACGGGCGGAGTACGAAGAGGATGGGCATAAGGAGCAGGAGGTGAGAATCATGAGGGGTAGGAGCAGGATGTTGGGCTTGGGCTGGATGGTGAACAAGAAAAGGAGCGTAAGGATGATGGTGATGATGATTCCCCAAGCAGTGCTTGCACTGAAAGGACCTCGCAAATGTTGAAAGACTAGGCGAGAACGCCCGGCCGATTTTGGTAGGCGACCGGGTTCCTGGGTTCCTGGGTTCCCGGTTCAGGGGTCCCCGGTTCCTGGTTGCTGCTTCCGGGCCGATTTCGGTTGGCGGCGGGGTTCCCTGGTTTCAGGGTTCCCGGGCTCCTGATCTCACAGTCAATCTAACAGTCGATCTCACAACAAATCTCACTATAGATCGCACGGGCGTTCTCACGACCAGTCTCACTATCGATCTCACTCAATCGACACCGCTATCGCTCACACGATCCAACTTACGATCGTCCTCGCTAACGATATTACGATCGATATCATGATCGATCCGATTCCAATATCCATATCACTAGTTTTCAAACAATCCACTGAGTGGGCTTTCTTCTGTGTAATTTACAGTTGGTGATTGATGGTGATGGTGATGGTGATAACGGTGACGATGACGAAGATGATGCTGCTGATGATGATGGTTATGATGATATGAGTGACGATGGTGACGATAATTGTGACGATGGTGGAAGTGTGCTGATAGTGATGGCAGGTGTTGGTAGAGATGATGATTATGATTGTGTAAGTATAGCGATGGTGATGACAATTAGTATTATGTTGGTGGTGACGATGATGATGACGACTATGATGGTGATGATGATGATGATGATGATGATGATGGTGATGATGATGATGATGAATATGATGATAGTGATTATAATGACGACGATGACGATGACGCTGATAGTGGTGATGATGCTGTTTATGATGATGCTGACGAGGATGATGATGATGATGCTGCTGAGGATGATGTGTGGACGACAATGATGATGGTGGTCCATGGTGGTGATGATGATAACGATGGTGATGATGATAATGATACAGATGATGCTGCTGATGATGGTGATGATTAGAATGATTATGATGATGATGATGATGATGATGATGATGATGATGATGATGATGATGATGATGCTGATGCTTATGATGATTTGGTGATATAGACGACGACGGCAACTACGACGACGACGATGAGGAGGAGAAGGAGGAGACGGGGAAAATGAGGAGCAGGAGCAAGAGCAAGAGCAGGTGGACGGGGAGGAAAGAAACATGCTGGGGAATGGTGGTGAGGACGAGAAGCAGCACGAAGAGGAGGAGGAGGAGGAGGAGGAGGAGGAGGAGGGGGAGGAGGAAGACACTGAGAGCAAAAAGGAGGAGGAGGAGGAGGAGAGGGAGGAGGTGAAGGAGAAACAGAGAAGGAGAATGGGGGAGAAACGACGAGATGGAGAGGAGCGCCTTCGAAATGGTCAACGCCGGGCTCCACTGGTCCTTGAGGATGTCCAGGCAGATGGCGCCGTTGGAGTTGACGTTGCAGTGGTATATCTTCGTCGTGAAGTGGACTTTTGGTGGCTTGAACGGATAGTCGGATGGGAACGTCCGCATCGTGCTTCTGGCACGTAATAGGACTGTGTCATATCTGTGAGTGTGCTTTTCAATTGTATATCTTTGTCGTGAAGTGGACTTTTGGTGGCTTGAACGGATAGTCGGATGGGAAAGTCCGCATCGTGCTTCTGGCACGCAGTAGGGCTGTATCACATCTGTGAGTGTGCTTTCGCAACGTAACACGAGCACGCTGCGAATCTGTTCAGTGGCACGCCTCCACTCCACCATCCTTCCATCCCACCTCCTATCTCCCATGCTCAAACCCATCATCCACGCAGGCTGACTAATGCTCAAACTCATCCGCGCTCAGGCTCATACGTAGACTAGCTGTCACAACTGACTCACACACCCACACACTCTAACACTCTGACTCACACACACTGACACACTATTTCATGCTCACCCATGCTCCACTCGTGCGCAGACATACTTACCAACCGTCTCACCGAGATGTAGCAAGCATCGCACCCGGACAGCACACGGGGGAGCCAAACAACGCATCATCAGGTGTCAGTTCGCGCCTATGTGCGGGATATGTCCGATAGCATGGCTATTGCTTGAGGTAGACGTAGACACGCCTCTCTTAAGCGCCAAACGGTCACATCGATGCAACACCACGGGGAAACCGACCAAGGTGTTATAACTGGCAAGTTCGCGCTCGTGTTTGCGGGACAACTCAGAGAGAGTGTCAGCTTGGAGGTGTAGACGCCCCCCTTTTCACAGTCCCATCATCACGGAGATGTAGCAGGCATCTACCTCAAGCAAGGCGAGCCGATTGGGGTGTTATCGCGTGCGCGATTGCGCGCAGATGGGCGGGACAACTCAGGTATAATGACTGCTTGAGGTAGGCGTGTCTCTGTTCAGAGCCATACGGTAACCGCAATATCGCAGGCATCTTCACTACCCCTCGCCCCCTCCCCAAAAATGTGTCGACCAGGGCGTTATCACGGGCGCGCTGGCGCCCAACTGTGCGGAGCCTGTCAGGTAGCATGCTCGCCTTGAGCAGTCACACAGTGTCCCTCTTTAGAGCCCCTCGACCACCGCGACGGAGCAAGCATCTCACTCGGACCGCCCAAGGGGAGACCTACTAGGGTCTTCTCACCACGGAGACATCGTGCTAAGGAATGCGGGACAACTCGGGTACAACAGAAGTTCTGGGAGGTGTGCGAGTCTGTCTTCGCAGTCCCATGGTCACCGCGGTGCAGCGTGCATCGCACTTGGGCGTGAGGGCGCCAGGGAATATGGAGCTCCAGAAGGCCCGCAATCATGCCCATTATCCTTCGTACCTGTGTCCATTCGTACTCAGACCAACTCAACATCAGACCCGCTCATAATCTGACCCACCCATAATCGAACCCAACCATGGTTAGCCGCCCACTCATACCCAACCGCCCACATTTATCCATATCAGTCACTGATGACCCCACTGGCCCGTGCCTATATTATCAGAGTGAAGGGGCCGAACGATCATTCACTATCCCTGCGTGCGTGGGTACCAAAAATTGGATTCCGCTCAGCAGAGCGGATCACTGTTGTTAAATCATTTGTTGTTTGTTGTTTGTTGTCTCCGTCCCACCCGCGAGCCGCCTGCGACCCACCCGCGACCCACCCGCGACACACCCGCGACCCATCCCGCGACACACCCTTGACCCACCCGCGACCCGCCCGCGACACACCCCGCGACCCACCCGCGACCTAGCCCCTTGACCCACCCGCGACCCACCCTTGACCTGCCCGCGACCCGCCCGCGACACACCCGCGACCCATCCCGCGACCCACCCTTGACCCACCCGCGACCCACCCGCGACCGGCCCGCGACCCACCCGCGACCAACCCGTGACCCACCCGCGACCCACCCGCGACCCACCCGCGACACACCCCGCGACCGGCCCGCGACCCACCCGCGACCCCCGACCCAGCCGCGACCCACCCGCGACCCACCCCGACCCACCCCGCGACCACCCGACCCACCCTTGACCCACCCGCGACCCACCCCGCGACTGGCCTGCGACCCACCCGCGTGACCCACCCGCGACCCGCCCGCGACCGGGCCCGCGACCCATCCGCGACCCACATGCGATCCACGCGCGACCCAGCCGCGATCAAACCGCCAACCACCAGCGACCCACCCGGAGACCCACCCGCGACCCACCCATAACCCACCAGCGACCCAACCGCGACTCACCCACTTGATTGGACGAAAACTTCGGCGCCTGCGGCGTGCTCGTTGCTAAATTTCTATGTATATATACATATATATACACACACACCTCTTCCTATATTTTTATAAGCCTGGGCGGGGGGAAAACCCCGCACCCCCCCCAAAAAAAAACCGAACTCCCGGGATCTGGGGCTTTGGGACCCTCCTGACGGGCCTCGAAGCGGCCCCCCGGGCCTCGCAGGGCGTTTTGCCAAGCACCTAGGGCGATCAGGGGGGTCGTCGGAGACGTCTCAGAGACCCCCAAAGCAGCACAGGAGCGTTCCAAGAGTGAAGGACGTGACCTCAAGATGGCCCAAGAGGCCTCCAGGACGGCCCCAAAGAGGCCTCCAAGAGTACTCCCAAGAAGGCCCCAAGAGGCTAAAATCATTGATTTTCTGTTGGTTTTTGGTGAATTTTGGGGTTCTCCTCTTTTCAGCTTCCCGACGCTCCAAGACGGCGGTCTTCTGGCGTCCGAAGCCGCCCGGGAGGCTCCCAAATCGCCCCACAACCATCCGAAAGGGCTTCTGGGCAGTCCAAGAGAGCCCCAAAGCGGCATAACACGGATCTAAGATGGCCCTCAGAGAGCCCCATGGCGGGCCAAGATTGCCCCAAGACACCCTCCGAAACATTCCAAATCGCGACCCGGTCGTTCAGGGAGACCGCAGTTGGAGGCAGGGTGGCCCGAGGAAGCCCCGAGAGGCCCCCAGAATACGCCCAGAAGGCCTCCAGAAGGCCTTCAGAAAGCCTGAAACAACTTTTGTGAGGCCCCCAGAGGCTCTCCCAGGAGGAGCCTCCGCAAAAAAGAGCTGAGGAGGATGGGGAGAATGCGCAGGGTATGGCGAAAATGAAGAAAAGAAGCATGGAGGAAAGATAACGAATCACATGATCATAGCGGCGATGCCAGAAAAGATAACAAGGAGTTATCGCTAAATTGTCGGCTTGACCTTCCTGCTATTCCGCCTGCGTGCCAAACTTCAAGGACCAACGTGCATGGCGCGAAGCGCCACTGCAGTCTTGTGTATATATATCTATAAAAAATATGTATATATATATATATGTGTTGTTCGACAAGCTTCTTCAGAGCCTCGCAGGCTGCCGACAACCCCGCCGCCCCCTCACTCTTGTCCGCAGCTGCGGGGTGCTACTTATCATGCCCAGTCCCAACTCATGCACGATCTCTCCAGGCGTGCTCCTACTTACCCACAGACACGTGAATACCGGATTGCACGTTGAACAATTCAAACCACGACTCACGGATGCTCAACCAATCCTACTCATATTCGTTCAGAATCAAACTCAATACTCATCACACCTGGAGATCTGCAACGCGTCAAACTCAGACTCGCTGGTATTTAGATCCGCTAACAATCGGAAGCACTCACATCCAGGCCAACTTCTGCTCAGACCCATTCGTTCTCAGACCCACACGCGTTCTCAAAAAACAAATGCGCACACTGCCATAAACATTCACATTCAAGCCAATGCACAACCATTTTCACCTTTACCCAGGAGCTCAGACGCACGCAACGTCAGGTCCATTGCTATATAGACTCACGAGCGCTCCGACTCACAAATCCAATGCCCAGGCCTGCTCATGACCTTCCTCGCTCGTCCCCCGACACACAACTACAATCAAGCTCGGATCCGCTCATACTAGTACTTGTACCCACTCGTCCTGAGACAACGATACCCCAACCAACCCACCTTCATCGGCTCTCGTACTCAGTCGCTCGTGCCGACTCTCACTCGTACCCCCATGTGCTCCTCGCCAGACACGCATGGAGGGCCTCGCTGTGACACATCTTCATACACTGCGACCGCACGCCGAGAACGATTGGAAGGCCCGCGGACGGTGGATTCCTGGGCGCCTGCGCCGGCTCCGCAGGGTCCTGCTGGGCTCCCGGGGGGACTTTTCCCGAGCCATCGAGAGCGTGGTTGGGGTTCCAGGCCTCCAGCGTGCCCCAAGATCACTGGCCGCCCAAATAGGCGACGATCAAACGCGGGTCTTACGCAAGACGGAACGACCTGACGCGGTGGCTTGCGCGGGTCGCCAGCCCGGCACGTTAAATTGGGAACGAGGCCGCTTACGCGCGAGCTTACGCGGGCAGCTTCCGAGCGAATGTCGGCGCAGTAGACCCCGTGTTTTTCTTGCGTCGCTCAAGTGGGGTCGGGGGTGGGTGGGGTCGGCGGATCGCGCCGCAGCGTCGATGCATCACCCGATGCGCCAGCGATGCGTCGGCGGTGCATCGGCGACGCCGGCGAGGCGAACATCGGGCCCCACATCGAGGCGCGCCGATGCATTGGAGATCCGGCGCAATCCCCCCGCCCCAGCTACTCCGACCCCAGCCGGGAGGTCTGGACAGATGGCTTCCAAGCCCCGTGATGTGCCCCAGCCCCCGTGGGAGGTACGTCGGGCTGCCCTGGGGGGGCCAGGGCTGGCCCTGGAGGCCGATCTCAGTAAAGCACGTGCGACTTGATGCATGCACCTGCCATTCTCGCCCCCTCGGCCCCAGGGGCGTCCAAGACGCGCAACGAGGCTCCCCAAAAAGGCACCAGGAGGGCCTATTGAGGCGCCTGGCCCGCATCCGCAGAAACCTGCGTGTTCCCAACCATGCTCCCAGAGACCCTCTCAAGAAACTGCCATGGGACATGGCCATGAATGCGTTGTTGCTATCTTCCGCTCACATTGCGCGCCTGCCTGACCATCAGACAAGAAACAAAGATGGGCTGTGCCGAAGGCCGCTGGATAATGTTCAGGAAGAACACGCCGCCCGTATAGGCCGAGTCAGGGGGGCCCATGATGGTGGCCTGCCAACTGAACAGGTCGTCTCCGACAGGCCCCGCCGAGCAGTTCGCAGGCGGGTCGTTGCCCAAGTCGGCCAGCTCCTTCTGGATGCGCTTGAGGGCCATCGCGGCCGCGGGGGTGCTGGATCGCAGGGGAGCTGTATTCGAACCCGATCTGTCGCGCACCCGAGCCTGGGCGTGCCCCTTCCCCACCCCCTATCCTGCCCTTCCCATCGGCTGCCAGTGGCACGCGCAGATCCGATGCATCAACTACCGGGGGGGGGGGGGGGGGGAAACAGCGGAGATCTGGCGGGATGCGGGGAGGAGGGCGAGGAGCATGAGGCGGCGATCGCAAGATGAACACGAGGATGCCTAAGGGGGGTGCAGGCAGGCAGGGTCAGGGCAGCGTTGAGGAAGAGGACGAGGAAGGTGGGACGGCCTGGAAATAGGGGGATGGATAGAAATAGTGGGTGGGTGTAAAAGAAAAGGGTTGGGGCATTGCTGAGGGAGAGCGCGGGGAAGCCTGGACGACCTGGAGATAAGGGGGGGGGACCTGGGGGATGAACAGCAGCAGCAGCAGCTACATCAGGATCCGGGGCAGGGCGGGAGGGGGGGCGAGGAGAGACGTCGCAAGAGGATGTGCAGCACGAGCAGGAAGTGGCGTACGAACAGGGCGAACCTCGCTCATGATTCTTTACCCCCCTTTCACTATTCACCCATTCCTCATTCGCGCGCGCTCACCTTCCTTCCACCATTCCTTCCGTGCTCCCTCTCCTTCCTGGTCCTCGTCCTCCTCCCCCATTGCGCCTCCTCCTCGTCCTCCTCCGCTTTCGAACATTCCTACCATGCCTCCTGCGTCCTTTTCCCCCCCTTGCTCCTGCCATCCTCGACGTGCTCCTGCTCCAGCTCCCAGCTGCCGCTGCGGCTGCTCCTCCTGCCTCTCCTCCTGACGTACCTGAAGGGGCCCTGGGACACACAAATAAATACACACAAATAAAAAAATCCCCATATTTTCTCATATTTTCTGGGTTTTTGTCTTCCCCCCCACTTCCCATATTTTCCCATATTTTCTGGGGGATCGACGATTAATTGTGTCTGTGTGTTTTTTCTCCTGAGTACCCTCCTCTCTCCTCCTCGCCCTCCACTGAGATCCGACGGCGCTGATCCATCGCGGCGTCGTGACAAATCACGACGGGAGCCCTGGACCCCGTCTTGCTGCGGCATTCGTCGAGCCGGATCGATCTGTGAGGGCCCCCCGGGGCTCGCAGTGCCCTGATGGTCCGCTACCGAAAATTTCCGGTAGCGCTCCGCAGAGATCGGTCGCTACCGAAATACCGAAATGTAGCGCCCAATACCAGTATCAGAGCGTTCTGAAATCCGCTATTTCAACGCCCTCAAACGAAGATCCGGTCGCTACCGAAATTCGGGGTGCGTCGAAATCGCTACCGAAAATTTCCGGCACCAGACCATCTGGGTGGGGCGAACACGCCGGGCTCGGCAAGCCTGCGACGCCAGGGCCCCCGGGGCCCTCCGCCCGCTCCCGGCCCTCTGCCCGTGCCCGCTCGCTGGCCTGCGTGAGCGGCCGCCGAGGCCACACGCGGAGCTGCCTGGCGGCGGGGACCTCTGCTGGAGGGGGGCACAGCCCCCATCGCGCAGCGAGGGGTGGGCTCTTTTGCGGGGGCGCGCGGGGGCGGAGCACCAGACGTGTGGGGCGCGGGCCACGATCGGGAGCTCCTGGATACTCCGGAGCTCGCAGTGTGAAGTGTGGGGGCGGGGGGGGGGTCACGCTAAGGGGGGGTGGTCCGAACAACTCGAGCTGTCCCGGAGGGTTCCCGTGGGGTCTGGGCAGAAGGCCGCCCGTTCATGGCTGGTCGGGGTAGGGGTTCTGACATTGCTCGTCTGGCAGGGGTATCACTAACTCCCCCCACTTGATCATGAAATCTGGAGTTGCCTGTCGCCGGGGCGGCCCCGGCGAGACGCTGTGCCTTGCAAGCGGAGGGCGTGTCGATCCGCTCCGCAGGGCGCGGGGCTCGGCAAGGCTCGGGGCGTGGACAGCTCGCGCCGAGGCGTGGTGGGCCAGTCCCAGCGGAGCGACACGCTATCCAAAAGTTCCCCGAGCGTAGCTGGGGGACCAAAAACAATGTCAATGGCACGCCGCCCTGGGGGACCCATCAGCGAGTGGCTGCTGAAGGAGCACCGAGCCTGCGGACAAAAGCAAAATGAGTGACGCGCTGGCGGGCTCCCTGTGGCAGCGTGGCGCAGACACCCTTTTTCCCTCCCGAATAAGTAAGCCCTGGCGCGCAGAGTAGGAGCGTGAGGAGAAGTTTCCAGTGGGTGTCAACTGTGAAGGATAAGTTTCCAGTGGGTGTCAACTGGAGTGTCGGACGCTTGCTCCTGCAATCGCTTTCAGTTGGTGAGTCCGTCCCGCTTGCTCCCAATCTGTGGCCGGTGGTTCGCCGAAGAGTGCGTGCTGCACTAACATACGATGGCGGCAGCGAAAGCGGCACCTTGGGAGATGAACTGTATATGGTCCTGCCCAGAGGGGGACTGGTCTGGTCAGAGGGCAGCCCGTTCCGAGCTGGCCGCAATTCGAGCGCAATGAACTGGTGCTTGCTGGGGAGATTAAACTCGTAGCTGCGTCCGACAAGCCTCCGGCCACTGGCCCCAGGATCAAGTCCCTCCTCCCCTGTAAACGGTGCGACTGGAGCGGTGGCAGCCCACCGGGGCGCGTCTTCAATCCGCGCCCCGAAAGCTCCCGACCACTATCCCGGGTGCAGTTTTTCGTCCCGGATCCGTTCCAGCCCAGGCCCGAAAACGGCCCCTAGAGCCCTGGAGGCCGAAATCGAGACTTACAACGGGATTGAACAAATCAGATCATCGGAGATCTGGGGAGGCTGCTGCCTGGCACAGCCAAGTGAGTGCGGTGCGGGTAGAGCGCGCAGCTGTGCTAGGTCCTCCTCCTCCTCTTCCTCCACCTCACCCTCCTCCTCATCCCCCTCCCCCTCCCCCTCCTCCTCCTCCTCCTCCTCCTCCTCCTCCTCCTCCTCCTCCTCCTCCTTTTTTGGACTTGCGGTCAGGATTATGTGCGCGAGGCGAAACCCATCAGGAGCAGGGAAAAAGGGCGCAGGACAGGGCCGAATAGAGACAGCGCAAAGAGCGAGCAAAGCACGCGAACGGTCCCGGGAGCCAGCCGAGGCAGGAACGGGGACCCGACACCCTGTCAGAGCAGGGGCAGCCTGCGCCACGGGCCCGCGAGGGCTCAGGGCATCAGGCGGAGCCACGGGCCCGCCAGGGCTCAGGGCTGAGAAAGAAGCGGACATTGCAGAATAAACGGCGACGAAGAGCCCCGAACACCCGACACCAGGCGCAACGAGCCGAGCCCAGCGAGGCGACGAGGGAAAACGAGCCGAATCCAGCAAACACGTCCACTCAGCACACTCGCTAAACCTCAGAGCTGGTGCAAGGGGCTCAGGAAGTACTGGAAGTACTTGGCCCCATGCGCGCGTACCACTGGTCGAAGATCTGCTCGTGCTGGCACAGATCTCTGAAGAACATGCCAGAGCCCGGCTGCCCTTGACTCGCTGCGAAGTCGTACAGCCTGTCGAAGACGTCATTCGTCATGAACTTGCTGTGGTACTGGAATCGTTCCGCTGCCTTGTGAAAAGCATGCCTGAGAACCTGCTTGGTGCTCTTGCCGACGCACTCTAGGTTGCATGGGCGAATGCGTAAGGCCTCCGACCCAGATTTGAAGACCCATCGGTCGCTGCCAGTATCATACGTTCCCAGAACGCCTTCGGTGCCATTGAGGAGCGTGCGGCCCTTGATGCCCACGATGCGCACTGCCTGACCTTCCAGCAGCACGCGAGCAGGATTTCCCGTCTGAAGCGCCTGCCCCGCGGGTCCTTGCTGGTCTGCGTCCGCTGCTCCTTTGGCAGCCCGTTGGCTGTCCTGCAGTGGCTCCGCCTCAACTGTCGCGGCGGCGGGCACCTCGTGCTCCATCGCGGCTAGAGGGGCGACAGAACTCGCTGCGGAATGGCACGAGCTTCCCCCTGCAGAGTGCGCCCGGCTCGGGATAGGCGTGCTGCGCCTGCGCCCGAGAGTGGAGTGTTCGCCAATGCTCTCCTCGAGGATGGCGGCAGGAGTGCACAGCTGCTCGTCCTTGGGCGGCTCGATGGGCGCTGGGGGAGGTGGTGGAGCAGGCGGCACTGGAGGAGGCTCCGCAGCTGGTGCAGCGTGTCGGGCAGCAGGTGGAACCAGAGGCCGTAATGCAGCGGCCAGTGCTGCACCAATCCGGGTGGCCTGGCAGCCTCTGCGGTGCAGGGAGGCAAAACTCTTCAGCAACGTCTGTGCGGCCCGGGCCTGCGCACGCGCAGCCTGCTCGCGCCGAGCGCGGGCTGTGCGGCGGGGCCGACCTGCACGCCAAGGAGGATCCATTGCTCTGGGCGAGGGGGCAAGGAAGATAGCGGCCGAGGGCCGCCTGGCTCTGGCTCGCAGCCTCCGTCTGGAAGCGGCCTGAGCCCGGGCTCTCCTCCTCCTCCTCCTCCTCCTCCTCCTCCTCCTCCTCCCTCCTCCTCCCTCCTCTCCTCCTCCTCCTCCTCCCCCTCCTCCTCCCCTCCTCCTCCCCCTCCTTCTCCTCCTCCTGCTCCTCCTCCTCCTCCTCCTTCTCCTCCTCCCCCTCCCCCTCCTCGCTCCCCCTCCTCCTCGCTCCCCCTCCTCGTGCGCCGCTCCTCCTCCTCCTCGCTGCCTCCCCCCCCGCCGCCCCCCGACCCCCCCCCCGCCCTCCGCAGCCCGGCGGCGCCCGCGCGACTCCCTGTGCAGCCGGCCGCGGCGCGCGGGGCGGGGGGCCACGCCACGCCGTGCTGGCGCGCGCTCTCAGGGGGCGCCCCAGCCTCGTGCCGCCGCGGGCCCCTTCCTGTCCGCAGGAGGCATGAAGTAGAGGGACACAGTTAGTGAACACCCCCCCTGCCCACGGGGAAATCGGGACGCTCGGGAGGTCCGAACCCAGACCTCTGGCGTCACGACAAGGTCCCGGGCGGGTGGCAATGGGGGTGACCTACATGGGGCGTGGAGAGAAGAGGGCCCTGAAGGGGCCCTTTGGGGCCCTTTCAGGGCCCCTGCTGGCTCCA